AGCTGATGTCAAGGGCTTAACCCTATAATGCCTGAATTTTTAATTTCAGGAAAAAAATTATTTTTGTTTTTATTCTTTACTTACTTTAATAGTTATCAATATATATAACAACCAAAATATAGTTAAAAATATAAAATTTGCAATGTTTTTAAAATGTAACCAAATCATCACATTCGTCCATGGATTTATAATACAAGAATAAAAAATGCACGTTCATTTCTATATTATTTTTTTTATTTCTATATTATTTTTATCTTATTTTATTATTAAATAAAAAACAAACTGAACACTTATTTTATTTATAAAATATAATACAAAATTTATTTGTTTATAATTTTAGTTACTGTGAAATTGAACAAAACAATTTTTTTCTTTTGTGATACAAAGATGAACTTTGCATTTGCTGCAGAAAAATACTGGTGCACTCCTGCAATTTACATTTTTGCATCTTCCTCTGATTTTGACCTCAGGATGATGGTGATGACCATCCAGACGGGTGTCTCTTCCAGGGAGACTTTCGGTGGCAGGACCTCTTCTCTTCCTGTAGCAAACTCAGCATCAGTAAAGCTAGTTGAAGGTCGGCCTCCTTTTGTTGGTCTGTTACTTTTTCCTTCAAGAAGAAGAGCTTCGGCGATGCTCATTTTGAACCCTTGCAGTCTTTGGGAATTTGTGAATTATCATGGAAGTGAATCTTGGACTTTATATCTTCCCGTCAATCTCTACTTATCACTTCCAATACAATAGGACAGCTTAGTTTGCCGTTCCAATATAAACGTGAATTTGAGAGCTTCACCATCGACATAGCAAGAGGTGTACCCCAAATTGCTCAAGTTCCTGGCTACTCAGTACAAGAGGCTTACTTGGATTTTGCTGGATTGCATAAAGATTTGATTGGTCGACAATATAAGTAATGATATCCTTCGAGAAAAAATGTCTAAAATATTCAACAGGACGCTTTACTAGCCCAGAAGGATCTATTTATCCTAACCATTCAGGCGTAGGTCTAGCTGTACCATCTCCAGAAATGTGCTGCCAAAAAGGAATTGTTAGATTTCTTGATGTAGACTGCTTTGAACTTGTAGTTATTGGAATTGTTTCTTCAACTTCAACAACTGAAGTTTCTAACTCATCTTCACTAGTATTATCATTACTACCTATGAGGTCTTCTAATTCATCCAAATCAGAATAATCGGTTGTATATTCACTTCCTATCATGGGAAAAAATAAATATTGTTATCAAAATAGTTTGAATAGCAATATAATTAAAATTTTATATTGTGAAATAAAATTGTTTAATAGAATACACATTTTATTTACCAATTTCATCCATATTAGCATCTGGTTCCTTGTCTGAGTCTGTACCACTTCCATCTAGGCCATAAATTCGCCATTTTCCATAAAACAAATCACAATCCATGCTATCATTTTTGTCACCATTGATTCAAAAGATGAACGTAATGAATTCGTTACATTTAGAAAAAAGCAGAAATATATAATTATGTTTTTATGAGTATTACACCTTTGAAATAAAAACTATAGCTTTATGAACATATACAAAAAATATCAACACTAAAACTTCACTAGATTGAAAATTATTGTAAAATGCACTGAACGCAAACGACCACTTAACCTCAAACCACAATCGGTCAAAACGTGCCACTATTCAAGCATTTTGCCGCTAAAATGCGTGACCAGTGGTATGCATTTGTACTAGTAAAGTGTGATGATTTCGTCGATATCTTCATCGGCTCCAAAAGCTTTATAATTTCGGTACCAGAAACGTTTTAATGAAATCTTATGAAAATATCACGCTTGGCGTTATAGGGTTAAGTGGAGAGTAAATGTTTTGAGAATGATGAGGGCAACGAGTGTACACGTGTGCTTTACACAATTGATGTGTAATAAGATGTGTGATTGTGATTAGAGTTGTATGAGCCCCCAATTAAATGGTTAAAAAAATTGGCCATCACACAAAAATAATAAACAATGTACAGCCTTGAAAACCTTACAGGACCGTTCTACTCTGCCTTACAGGGTCACCATGAGTCGGAATCTACTCACCGCAGTGGTTTTGGTGTTTGGGGGTGACCCAATAGGCAGCTGTTTGCCTACTCTGTACCTACTCATTCCCCACCTACTGCTGTCCTGAACGGAGGCTCTGCTTTTCCTGCACTGTGCTGAGCACACATCCATGCGGCAAACTTCCAGATTTCTCACCAGAAAAAGTACTCTACCAGTCTCCTTTGGAAACATAGTCAAGGCCTGGGGTTCTCAAACTTGAATAGGCAGCAGAATCCCTTGAAAGACTTGTTGAAACGGAATGCTCTTTCCAGCATTGCTAACTCAGTCGGTCAGTAAAATTGGCTGTCTGATCATTGGAGCTTCCCTGTTCCTCAGCTCATAGTCAATCTTTTTGAAGTGTTTGTCCCCACTGCTAAGATCTTGTTTTGTTTCATCAATCCCTTTTAACTGAAATACAATTACTGAAACAATCATCATTCTTTTTAAGATGTAATGAGCAGCAGAATCATCTGTCCTTCGTAAAATTACCAATACAGTATTGAATCCTAACGGAAAGTATCAAGGAGCCGCCATTGACAAGTGTGCCCTCGTGCTACTGCCTCAGTCCACACGCACCCCGGCCAGCGCGCCTGCGCACTGCCCTCAAACGCTGAGCAACACTGAGGCCGGAGCGGCGCCTACATGACACGCCTCAGGACGGCAATGGCGGCGGGCAGAAGCGTCACCTCAGCTGGGGAGGGGTGGCATCCCGACACCAGGTGGGCACGGGAGAATCCGACTGCGAATTGCTAGGGCCCCCATGCCGGCCTGACTCTGGCGTGACTCCCCACGAAGTCCGAAGACGTCGTCCTACAGCAGGGAAGTGAAAACGCCCGCACTGGCAGGCCTGCCGGCCGCCGCTGCTTCCGGGCCAGGGTGGGCTCGCACTCCGCCCCTACGTGCTTCGATTGGCTCTAGGGCCTGTCCTGCCCCCTCCCGATGCCCTCATTGGTGTACAGTGCTCCGTCTGTGGGTGGAGCCATATCGCACCTTCGCAAACTTCTATTGGTTTTAGAGATTGCCCCGCCCCGTTCCTGCGCTCTCATTGGTCTAAATTATTCCGTGTGCGGCTGAAGCCGCCCCGCCCCCGCGCCGGGGGCGAGGACAACAAAGGGCTGCGGGCGGCTGTGGTCGTGACCCGAGTCTCCGGTGTTTCCTTCAGGGCCTGGGGCTCTATCCTCGCGCCAGTCGCCCGCGCCCCGGGATCTCCAGATGAAGTGTGAGCACTGCACGCGCACGGTGAGCACCACCTGCTGGGGCTGGGTCGCTGTGAGCGTCCGTCCGTCCCAAGGGGTGACGAGGGTCAGGCTGAAGGGTCAGCCTGTTTGTCCTCTGAAGCCTCCTGAGGGTCGCTCCGGAGACAGGGCTGAGGGGTCAGTTCTCCTGTGAGGGGGCCGGAGGGCTCGGTCGGGGTCAACTCGTTTGTCCTTTGAGGGGCCGGAGGAACCGGTCAGGGTCAACCCGCTTGCCCTGTGAAGGAGTCGTGGGCGGACCGGAGGTTCGGGCCCGGGGTCCTGGCCGGCCCTTTTGTGAGGGGCCACCCTGGTGGGAGGCCTCGGGCTCCTAATTCCAGCCCCTGGGAGAGGGGCCTGGGCCCACTCCGCAAGCCACCTTGCGCTTAGCGGGTATAGTGTTTGTTGACTTTGGAATGAATTCTCAGTGTTGTAGGATTCGGCCTGCTTGTCTGCCCCGTTATAAAACCCCCTGCCACCCAGTTCTTTCACAGGACAGACTAAAGTGCACCACAGGGTGTCCGGGACGCATCCTTTATAGGAGCAGCAGCCTAATCCTCCTCTCTGCTGACAGGCGGGATTTGAACTGCCAACCTTGCCGTTAGCAGCCCAGCTCCTAACTACAACACCATTTCCCATACACTTGGAATCCAAGCACAGCAAACCAAAACCAAATCTCCCACTGTCACCACTCGGGACAATCTTACCACTGTGAGAGTAGAGATGTAGTAGTCAGAACTTTGTGTTTGCAAATTACTGGCAGGAGAGACACCATGATCAGGACGGTGGTTTTCCCAGGGCCAGGCTCACCTGGTGCACTGCGGGTGTGCTGACCCTTGCAACTTCCCCAAATGTAGGAAACTCAACTGCATACTTTGTGGTAGTGGGGGACTGCGTTCATGCTCTCCCCTGTAAAAAACAACAACAACAACTTTGTTTTTGAGGAAGGAGGGCATACTTTTTAGGAAACGTATTTGCTTGTGGTAAGAAAACAGTAACATGCGCAAACACAGTGCTTGCCTGAGGATTTTGCTTTGTTTTTTAAAAAAATTGATCATATCATACAGGCTATTCTGTAACTTGTGGCTTCTTTTACTCAACACGATGTGAGATCTTTTCAGAGCCTTGCGTGGGGACGTAGGGCATCCTTTCTAATGGCTGCAGCCTTCATAAGTACAGATGTGCCCAGGTATCCCCAGGGGCATTGACGTTGATGGAAGGCCACATGTCTTATCATTTGTTGTGATGGCCAACAGAGCAGGTAGCCTTAACAACAGGTACTTTTCTTTAAACAAACAAACAACCTTTTTGTTGTGAATTGAAGGTTTACAGAATAGGTACTTTTCATTTCTGTAAAAGAGATTTGTAAACAGACTGAATGATCCAAGGGGATGGTGTTATTTCAGTAAGCACTGTGAGCTGAACGATATTCGTCAATAGGCTCCCTTGCTTCTTTAAGGAATGCAGTAAGAAAACAAAAACGGATGACCCAGAAAATGCAGTGGTGGCTGCAACAAGTCCGGCCCGGGAAAAGGAAGAAGTGAGTATATTTTATATCAGCCTGGAATTTACTGCCACTGTTGTCTTTCTCTTCTGTGGAAACTCTTGTCACCAGACATGCCACTGCTCTCAGACAACCAGAAGTGAAACTGAAGGAGTGAAGAGGGGACTTTCTCAGGGCCTGTTTTCATGGGGGCCCATCAGCAGGGTGCTTACTCAGGAAGGATCTCCCCCAAAGCCTGCCTAACCAAGCAAAGTGCATTGGAAACAAAACCAGTGCCATCTTTAGTCACTGAATAGTAGTGATGTAATATTTAAATCTCAAACTCTCTTTCTAATGCAGGTTCATTTTTATCAAAAGGAGGTTTCAATGAATAAAATTTAAAGTAATTCAAGATCTAGAATTCTAATAGTAAGACTTTTCTTACTGGTTTCTTATTTAATTAAGGTACCAAGGTTTTAACCCTCCTCAGCTAGTAGTGATGGCTGTGTTTATAGGTGTGTCCTGCGCTGGATACATCATGTGCATTGGGTTCGGCCCCACTCAGCCCTAAAAATTCCAGGTAGACCCTGTGGTTATCCTTGCCTTACAGATGGTGGAGACGTGGGGTTGCCCCTTCCTGGAGAAGCAACAGAGGACTGTACGGGGGGCTTCACAAAGTTTGTTGGCAAATGGAATTAAAAGACCATGGACTCCTTCTACGAATTGTTTGAAGCCCCCTTTTATTTTCCTTACAGTCCTTAACGGATTTTCTCTTAAAGTTATACTGTCCCAGAATGTCCAGCCATTCTGGGTCTTAAAGGGCTCCAGGAACAGAGGGCAAGGAGACAAGTGCCCCAAAGCCACCCTACAGCAGTGGAGGGAGGGAGGGAGGGGGAACTGAAGCCCTAAAGTTAGTGCAGCCCACACACTGAGCAGAAGATCAGGGGTACCCTCTGGGACAGATATCCAACCCCTGTGCGCCTGGCTTCTTATCAGTCCTTCAGGGAGTTGGGTTGGTCCGTGCATGTGGTGAGAGAGATAAGGCTTATACCAGCCTGAGCTGCTGCCTTATCAGCTCGGTAAGTGGAGACACTGCTTAGAGAAGGGCCAAAGGTGAGAGCTAAGGGTGTGGCCTACTCAGCCCTTACAGGGGTGGTGTGGGGAAGGGGCTGAGGTTCCCTTTCACCAGGTGATTGGTAGTGGAGTTATCAATGAGGATGTCTGGGGGAGGGGACAGACTTGTGTGGATTGAGGCAGGTGACAGAGCCAGCGTGTTTACACTGCCAGGGTCACCCTTGGGGTGTGGCTTTGGAAACTCAGGCAGAGAGGATGAGGCCTGGGTAAGGGCCAAATGGTGGTAAATAAAAAGTGAGTGTGTGGGGGAGGGAGTTCAGTCTGAGGCTCATGGGCCGTGGGCTTCCATACGTCTGGACAATACCAAAGGGAACAGACTTTAGAGGTTGCCAAGTGGAGGAGGGCAAGGGCAAGGGAGGGAAGAAAAAGCAATGGGCGTAACTGTTGATGAGTGCAAACTTGGGTGAAATTAAAGAAGGAGAAATCAAGGAGCAAGTGGAGGAATATTGTTGACTTGAGAGTCAAGATAGCGTCCAGGTAGAACCACCCACTCGGTGCTCCCGTTAGTAAATTAGAAAATTAAGAGATAGGCATGGTAAGCAAGCCCCAGGAGAAAGCAGTGGACTGAGGGTTCCGGAGGGGAAGGCGTGGTGAGCAAACAATGCCATAGACAGGGAAACAACTAGAGAATTAAAAGCAACAATGAGGAGGATGTAGACATCGTGGGGGAGTTGGAGCAACAGCAGTCTAGCTTAGGGGAATTACTATGAGGCAGAAGAAGGGCAAACATGATGGTGGGGCAGGAAGAAGATAAAAGAAAACAGGGAAAATCTAGGAAGCAAAGCTAAGGATAGAGGTATAAACATAGGTGTGCACCATATAAATATATTAATTCATAAAAATAAAGGTATTGGCTTACATACATATGTTTATATGGCAATACATGAAGGAAGTGGATGGACTTGGGCCTTTGCTCAAGCCCTCCCTTAACGCAAGAACATTTTCTTCTAACAACCTGGCATTCTGTGATGCTCACCCTCCCGGCATGATTACTGAAGACAAGATGGGTGCATAAGCAAATGTGATGAAAGCTGATGGTGCCTGGCTATTAAAATATACAGCATCTGGGGTCTTAAAAACTTGAGGTTACGGGGAGGGAGGGAAAAAATGAGGACCTAATGTCGGGGGTTTAAATGGAGAGAAAATGTTTTGAGATATGATGTACAAATGCGCTTTACACAATTGATGTGTGTATGGATTGGGATAACAGTTGTATGAGCCCCTAATAAAATGTTAAAAAAAAACTTGAGGTTAAACAAACGGCCATCTACCAGAGAAGCAACAGGCCACATAAAAGAAGCACACCAGCCTGTGCACGATCATGAAGTGCTGACAGGATCAGGTCACAGGCACCAGAAGACCCTCCCTCCAAAAAACAACACACATATTGTGGAGAACAAGTGGGGTCGGAGCAGAGACCCAAAACCCATCTGTAGACAATAGGACATCCCCTCACAGAAGGGTCGCAAGGAAGGGACGAGTCACACAATATTCCTCTGGTTCTTTGAGGCTTCCTCACCCCCCACTATCACGTCTCCAGTGCTGACTTTCAGTCCCGGCTAGACCAGAGCATGTACACTGTTACAGATAAGAGCTCAGGACACACGGAATTCGGGTCAGATAAACCACTCAGGAACAGAAATGGGAGTAGTGATGGCAGGAAGGTGGGCGGAGCAGGGGAGGAAGGGGGAACTGATCTCAATGATGGATGTGTAATTCCCCCTCCTTGCCCCCTGTCACCTGGGGGATGAACAACAGAGACGTGGGGGAAGGGAGACAGCGATCTGTGTAAGAGATGCAAACAATAATAATTTATAATTTATCAAGAGGGGAGGGAGGGAGGGAAAAAAGAGAAGCTGATACCAAGGGCTCAAGTAGAAAGTAAATTTTTAGAAAATGATGATGGCAACATATATACAAATAGAGGGAGGGGGGAGCGGGGAGGGAGGGGAAAAATGAGGACCTAATGCTGGAGGCTTAAGTGGAGAGGAAATGTTTTGAGAATGATGAGGGCAGTGAATGTACAAATGTGCTTTACACAATTGATGTCTGTATGGATTGTGATAAGAGTTGTATGAGTCCCTAATAAAATGATTAGAAAAAAAAAAAAGCTTGAAGGTAAACAAGCGGCCCTCTAGCAAAGAAGCAACAAAGCCCACATGGAAGAAGCACACCAACCTTTGCGATCATGAGATGTCAATGGGAATAGGTATCAGAAGTTCAAAAACAAGCAATCAAATTGACGTGAAGGAGTATAAACAAAGTGGAGACCCAAAACCCACCTATAAGATAATTGGACAGTCCCTCACAGAAGGGCCATATGGAAGGGATGACATATCCAGGGTGCAGTATAGCACTGATGAAACACATAACTATCCTCTAGTTCTTTAATATTCCCTCGCTATTATGGCCTTAGTTTTACTATTAGGGTTTTAGTTTTACCTACTATGGTCATAGTTTGATCTCATTAATCTTGTTAGACCTGTGTATGGTCAGTGTATGGTCCTTTGTATAACTAAGATCGTTCCATGCATGAAAGCCGAGATAGATAAACCGTCAGAAACAGTAATGGGAGTAATGATTCCCTGAGAGTATGGGCAGAGGGGGGGGGAGGGGGGAGGGGTTGCTGATAGCTATGATGACTGTATAACCCCTACTTAAGGGGAGTAAATAACAGATTTGTCGGTGAACAGATACATTGGATGGTGTAAGATATGGCCAATATAGATATATAACAATAAGGGTTCCTGGGCAGGTGGAGGAGGGAAGGGATAAGGGGGAGCTAATATCAAAGAGTTCAAAAAGAAAGAAAATGTTTTGAAACTGATGGTGGCAGCAATTGTACAATTATGCTGGATTGTTAGAATATCTGTAAGAGCTCCCAATAAAATGATTAATAAAACAAACAAAAATATATACAAATATGTCTGATATAATTGATGTATGGAATGTTAGCTGTAAGAGCCCTCAATGAAATGATTTTTTTTAAGGAGGTTGGTCTGGAGCTTGGGAGAGAGTGGGCACCTGGAGTTGGAGAGTTGAGAGGTGTGTGGGGGCAGGAATGACAGGTGCTTCTCTGGCCGATGGGTACTGAGGCTGAGGAGAGAGCTGACACCAACCTCCCACAGCACACTTGAGACAGAACTAGTGCAGAATCACGTCCTGCCAAATGCAAGAGATTAGGAAGCAGGAGGAAGTGGAAGGAACATGAGTGGGGGCGGGAGCCAGGCTTTGACCGTGGAAATTTCCATAAGGAAAGGCAGGTGGCAAGGCTGGAGGGTGATGCTGCTGGGCTAGGGGTGGCTCTGGCATAAGCCCCTCTCCGGGGTGGTTCTGGTGCCTTGGTGAAGGTGACATGCTCAGTTCAGCCACACATACTTTTTAAGTGCCAGTTGGGCCAGGCTCTCCACTCTTGGACCTGCAGGCCTGTCCTCATTGGGAGCTGTCACAAGTGCAAGCATTCAGCCCCACGTCGAGAGGGAGTGCTGATTAGGGGCCGAGGTGGCGGCAGGAGAGCAGGTGTGCCAGTCAGGAGACCTTGTGGTGGGTCAGGGGTCAGAGGCCAGGGATTGATACTGAGCTTTGTGGCAGTGAGGTAAGTGCGGTCATTCTTCACAGACACAGGAGGCGGGGCAGAGAGCTTAGAAGGCTTGATGGCCAGAGCTCCGCCGTGTGCGTCCAGAGCCAGCAGTGAGCTGTGTGAGTCGAGAGCTGGGGCGGGAGATGTGTGCAGGAGGCCCCTGATTCGGAGTGTCAGGAAGCAAAAGGCATCCTCTGGCTGGCTCTGCAGGTTTCGGGGAGGAAGAAGGGCGAGTCTGCTCAATTTAGGCTGTCAGTCCCAGGAATGGGGTTTTTCTGCCCAGTGCTGGCACTGGGCCCTGCTGCCCACCCTCGATGTCTGCGTGGGACTGGCCAGTATCACCACAGGCTGCTTGGAGAAGACTGTGCCTTCTCAGCACCTAGCACTTGAGTGCTGTCTCAGGTCTCCCTCAGGTCTCCGCTGGCAGTTTTACATATTGTGCTTTTGGGGGTCAATCTTCCTAAAGATGCTAATTTTAAAGACCTGTGGTTGAGGAATCAGGGCAAACATTGTCTTTCTTTTGTAGAAGGGAGAATTCCATAAGTTGGCTGATGCCAAAATATTTCTGAGTGACTGCCTGGCATGTGACAGCTGCATGACTGCAGAGGAGGGGGCCCGGGTTTCCCAGCAGAATGCCGAGGACTTCTTCCGGGTTCTGAACCTCAATAAGGTAGGTGGGCATTGCAGACAGTGGCAGAGGGGTGAAGCCTCTGCAGTGTCTGGGGAGTGAGAAGTCCCGCGTGTGAGGCTGTGTGTGTGTGTGTGTGTGTGTGTGTTACACACCTGTGAGTGCTTGTATGTGAGGGGAATGAGTGACGCTGTGTGTGTTTGAGAG